CACCACCATCACCACCATCACCACCATCATCATCACCATCACCACCATCACCACAATCATCACCACCATCATCACCATCACTAACATCATCATCATGTTGAGGCCTCTTGGCGAGTTCCAATCCGAGTCAGTGGCTGAGGTCTGTCAACACAAAGATAAAGGTGAAGGTCTCCCAGGTAGCCTCTAGCGAGTGAGGGGAGCTGTAGGGTCAAGTGCACTACAGATAAAGGTGATGGTGGTGGTGATGGTGATGATGGTGATGGTGGTGATGGTGGTGGTGGTGTTGGTGATGGTGGTGGTGTTGGTGGTGGTGGTGATGGTGGTGGTGATGGTGATGATGGTGGTGGTGATGGTGGTGATGGTGATGATGGTGATGGTGGTGGTGGTGATGGTGGTGGTGGTGTTGGTGATGGTGGTGGTGTTGGTGGTGGTGGTGATGGTGGTGGTGATGGTGATGATGGTGGTGGTGATGGTGGTGGTGATGGTGATGATGGTGATGGTGGTGGTGGTGATGGTGGTGGTGATGGTGATGATGGTGGTAGTGATGGTGGTGATAGTGATGGTGGTGGTGGTGATGGTGGTGATGGTGGTGGTGGTGATGGTGGTGATGGTGATGGTGGTGATGGTGATGGTGGTGATGGTGGTCGTGATGGTGGTGGTGGTGATGGTGGTGGTGGTGATGGTGATGATGGTGGTGGTGGTGATAGTGATGGTGGTGATGGTGGTGATGGTGGTGGTGATGATGGTGGTGGTGATGGTGATGATGGTGTTGATGGTGATGGTGGTGGTGATGATGGTGGTGGTGCTGCTGATGGTGGTGGTGATGGTGGTGGTGATGGTGGTGATGGTGGTGGTGGTGGTGAAAGTGGTGGTGGTGATGGTGATGATGATGGTGGTGGTGATGGTGGTGATGGTGGTGATGGTGGTGATGGTGGTGGTGGTGGTGATGGTGGTGATGGTGGTGATGGTGGTGGTGATGGTGATGGTGGTGGTGATGATGGTGGTGGTGGTGGTGGTGGTGGTGATGATGGTGGTGGTGATGGTGGTGATAGTGATGGTGGCGGTGATGGTGGTGATGGTGGTGATGGTGGTGATGGTGATGGTGGTGATGGTCGTGGTGGTGATGGTGATGATGGTGGTGGTGATGGTGATGGTGGTAATAGTGATGGTGGTGATGGTGGTGGTGGTGATGGTGGTGGTGATGGTGGTGATGGTGGTGGTGGTGAAAGTGGTGGTGGTGATGGTGAAGGTGGTGATGGTGATGGTGGCGGTGATGGTGATGATGGTGGTGGTGGTGGTGGTGATGGTGGTAATAGTGATGGTGGTGATGGTGGTGATGGTGGTGATGGTGGTGGTGGTGAAAGTGGTGGTGGTGATGATGATGGTGGTGGTGATGGTGGTGATGGTGGTGGTGGTGGTGATGGTGGTGATGGTGGTGATGGTGGTGATGGTGGTGGTGATGGTGATGGTGGTGATGATGGTGGTGGTGGTGGTGATGGTCGTGGTGGTGATGGTGATGATGGTGGTGGTGGTGGTGATGGTGGTAATAGTGATGGTGGTGATGGTGGTGGTGATGGTGGTGGTGATGGTGGTGATGGTGGTGGTGGTGAAAGTGGTGGTGGTGATGATGATGGTGGTGGTGATGGTGGTGATGGTGGTGGTGGTGATGGTGGTGATGGTGGTGATGGTGGTGGTGATGGTGATGGTGGTGATGATGGTGGTGGTGGTGGTGGTGATGGTGGTGGTGGTGATAGTGGTGATGGTGGTGGTGATGCTGGTGGTGGTGATGGTGGTGATAGTGATGGTGGTGGTGGCGGTGATGGTGGTGATGGTGATGGTGGTGATGGTGGTGATGGTGGTGGTGGTGGTGATGGTCGTGGTGGTGATGGTGATGATGGTGGTGGTGGTGATGGTGATGGTGGTAATAGTGATGGTGGTGATGGTGGTGGTGGTGGTGATGATGGTGGTGATGGTGGTGATAGTGGTGGTGGTGGTGGTGATGGTAGTGGTAATGGTGATGGTGGTGGTGATGGTGATGGTGGTAATAGTGATGGTGGTGATGGTGGTGGTGGTGGTAATGATGGTGATGGTGGTGATGGTGGTGATGGTGGTGGTGATGGTGATGGTGGTGATGGTGGTGATGGTGATGGTGGTGGTGATGATGGTGATGGTGGTGATGGTGGTGGTGATGATGGTGGTGGTGGTTATGGTGGTGGTGGTGGTGGTGATGGTGGTGGTGATGGTGATGGTGGTGATGGTGGTGATGGTGGTGATGGTGATGGTGGTGATGGTGGTGGTGATGGTGATGGTGGTGATGGTGTTGGTGATGATGGTTGTGGTGGTTATGGTGGTGGTGATGGTGGTGGTGATGGTGATGGTGGTGATAGTGGTGGTGGTGATGGTGATAATGGTGGTGGTGATTGTGGTGATAGTGATGGTGGTGGTGATGGTGGTGATGGTGGTGATGGTGATGGTGGTGATGGTGGTGATGGTGGTGGTGGTGATGGTGGTGGTGGTGATGGTGATGGTGGTGATGGTGGTGGTGGTGATAGTGGTGGTGGTGATGGTGATGATGGTGGTGGTGATGGTGATGGTGGTTATAGTGATGGTGGTGATGGTGGTGGTGGTGATGGTGGTGGTGATGGTGGTGATAGTGGTGGTGGTGATAGTGGTGATAGTGGTGGTGGTGATGGTGGTGGTGATGTTGGTGATGGTGGTGGTGATGGTGATGGTGGTGGTGATGGTGGTGGTGATGGTGGTGGTGGTGGTGATGGTGGTGGTGATAGTGATGGTGGTGATGGTGGTGATGGTGGTGGTGATGATGGTGATAGTGATGGTGGTGATGGTGATGGTGGTGATGATGGTGATGGTGGTGATGGTGGTGATGGTGGTGGTGATGGTGGTGATAGTGATGGTGGTGATGGTGATGGTGGTGATGGTGATGGTGGTGATGGTGTTGGTGATGATGGTGATAGTGATGGTGGTGATGGTGATGGTGGTGATGGTGGTGATGGTGGTGATGGTGGTGGTGATGGTGGTGATGGTGGTGATGGTGGTGATGATGGTGGTGATGGTGGTGGTGATGGTGGTGATGGTGATGGTGGTGGTGATGATGGTGGTGATGGTGGTAGTGATGGTGGTGATGGTGGTGGTGGTGGTGATGGTGATGGTGGTTATAGTGATGGTGGTGATGGTGATGGTGGTGATGGTGGTGGTGATGGTGGTGATAGTGGTGGTGGTGATAGTGGTGATAGTGGTGGTGGTGATGGTGGTGGTGATGTTGGTGATGGTGGTGGTGATGGTGATGGTGGTGGTGATGGTGGTGGTGATGGTGGTGGTGGTGGTGATAGTGATGGTGGTGATGGTGGTGATGGTGGTGATGGTGGTGGTGATGATGGTGATAGTGATGGTGGTGATGGTGATGGTGGTGATGATGGTGATGGTGGTGATGGTGGTGATGGTGTTGGTGATGGTGGTGATAGTGATGGTGGTGATGGTGATGGTGGTGATGGTGATGGTGGTGATGGTGTTGGTGATGATGGTGATAGTGATGGTGGTGGTGGTGATGGTGATGATGGTGATGGTGGTGATGGTGGTGATGGTGGTGATGGTGGTGGTGGTGGTGGTGATGGTGGTGATGGTGGTGGTGATGGTGGTGATGATGGTGGTGATGGTGGTGGTGATGGTGGTGATGGTGATGGTGGTGGTGATGATGGTGGTGATGGTAGTAGTGATGGTGGTGATGGTGGTGGTGGTGGTGATGATGATGGTGGTGATGGTGGTGATGGTGGTGGTGATGGTGTTGATGATGATGGTGGTGATGGTGGTGGTGATGGTGGTGGTGGTGATGGTAGTGATGATGGTGGTGGTGATGGTGGTGATGGTGGTGGTGGTGGTGATGATGGTGATGGTGGTGATGGTGATGGTGGTGGTAGTGATGGTGATGGTGGTGATAGTGATGGTGGTGGTGGTGATGGTGGTGATGATGGTGATGGTGGTGATGGTGGTGATGGTGGTGGTGATGGTGGTGATTGTGGTGGTGGTGATGATGATGGTGGTGGTGGTGGTGGTGATGGTGGTGGTGGTGGTGGTGATGGTAGTGATGATGGTGGTGGTGATGGTGGTGATGGTGGTGGTGGTGGTGATGGTGATGATGGTGATGATGATGGTGGTGATGGTGATGGTGGTGATGGTGGTGATGATGGTGATGGTGGTGGTGGTGATGGTGGTGATGGTGATGATGATGGTGATGATGTTGATGTGGTGGTGGTGATGGTGATGGTGATAGTGATGTCAATGATGGTGGTGATGGTAGTGATGGTGGTGGTGATGATGGTGGTGATGATGGTGATGATGATGATGGTGGTGGTGGTGATGGTGGTGGTGGTGATGGTGGTGATAGTGATGGTCATGATGTTAGTGATGATGGTGATGGTGTTGATGATAGTGATGGTGATGGTGGTGATGATGATGGTGGTGGTGGTGGTGGTGGTGATGGTGGTGATAGTGATGGTAGTGATGTTAGTGATGGTGATGGTGGTGATGGTGGTGGTGGTGGTGGTGATGATGATAGTGATCATGATGATGGTGATGATGTTGATGTGGTGGTGGTGATGGTGATGGTGATAGTGATGTCAGTGATGGTGGTGATGGTAGTGATGGTGTTGGTGGTGATGGTGATGGTGGTGGTGATGGTGGTGGTGGTGGTGGTGATGGTGGTGGTGGTGATGGTGGTGGTGGTGGTGATGGTGATGGTGGTGGTGGTGGTAGTGGTGATGGTGGTGGTGGTGGTGGTGATGGTGGTGATGGTGGTGGTGATGGTGGTGGTGATGGTGGTGGTGGTGATGGTGGTGGTGATGGTGGTGGTGGTGGTGATGGTGGTGGTGGTGGTGATAGTGATGGTCATGATGTTAGTGATGATGGTGATGGTGGTGATGATAGTGATGGTGGTGATGATGATGGTGGTGGTGGTGGTGATGGTGGTGGTGATGGTGGTGATGGTGGTGGTGATGGTGGTGGTGATGGTGGTGGTGATGGTGGTGGTGGTGATGGTGGTGATGGTGATGATGGTGATGGTGATGATGGTGATTGTGGTGGTGATGATAGTGATGATGATAGTGATCGTGATGATGATGGTGGTGATGGTGATGGTGATGATGGTCTCACCAGACTGAATCTGATTGAAGGCTGAGATTTTCCCACTTCTCCACACGGACACTCTGGTGGTGGTGGTTGTGGTGGTTGTGGTTGTTGTGGTTGTTGTGGAGGTTGTGGAGGTTGTGCCAGCATCTCTCCAACGCAGGGTGAACGCCTCAACTAGTCGCATGCTGACAACAACAACAACAACATTGTCAACAACATTGTCAACAACAACAACAACATTGTCAACACGCTTAGGGTGGGTGGGTGAGTGAGTGAGTGGGTGAGTGAGTGAGTGAGTGGTGAGTGAGTGGGTGAGTGAGTGGGTGAGTGAGTGAGTGGGTGAGTGAGTGAGTGAGTGGGTGAGTGAGTGGGTGGGTGAGTGAGTGAGTGGTGAGTAAGTGGTGACTGAGTGGGTGAGTGGTGAGTGAGTGAGTGGGTGAGTGAGTGAGTGTTGAGTGAGTGGTGAGTAAGTGGTGACTGAGTGGGTGAGTTGGTGAGTGAGTGAGTGGGTGAGTGAGTGAGTGGTGAGTGAGTAAGTGGTGAGTGAGTGGTGAGTGAGTGAGTGAGTGGGTGAGTGAGTGAGTGGTGAGTAAGTGGTGAGTGAGTGGTGAGTGGGTGAGTGGGTGAGTGAGTGAGTAAGTGGTGAGTGAGTGGGTGAGTGGTGAGTGAGTGGGTGAGTGAGTGAGTGGTGAGTAAGTGGTGAGTAAGTGGTGAGTGAGTGGTGAGTGGGTGAGTTGGTGAGTTGGTGAGTGAGTGAGTAAGTGGTGAGTGAGTGAGTGGGTGAGTGGGTGAGTGAGTGAGTGAGTGGGTGATTGGGTGAGAGAGTGAGTGGTGAGTGAGTGGGTGAGTGATTGGGTGGGTGAGCGAGTGAGTGAGTGAGTGGGTGAGTGAGTGGGTGGGTGAGTGAGTGAGTGGTGAGTAAGTGGTGAGTGAGTGGTGAGTGGGTGAGTGAGTGAGTGGTGAGTGAGTGGTGAGTAAGTGGTGAGTGAGTGGGTGAGTGGTGAGTGAGTGAGTGGTGATTGAGTGGTGAGTAAGTGGTGAGTGAGTGGTGAGTGAGTGAGTGGGTGAGTGAGTGAGTGGTGAGTGAGTGGGTGAGTGGGTTAGTGAGTGGGCGAGTGAGTGGGTGGGTGCGTGAGTGAATGGGTGGGTGGGTGAGTGAGTGAGTGAGTGGGTGAGTGAGTGAGTGAGTGGGTGAGTCAGTGAGTGAGTTGGTGAGTGAGTGAGTGAGTGGGTGGGTGAGTGGGTGGGTGAGTGAGTGGGTGGGTGAGTGGGTGGGTGAGTGAGTGAGTGAGTGAATGAGTGGGTGGTGAGTGGGTGAGTGGGTGAGTGGGTGAGTGAGTGGGTGAGTGGGTGAGTGAGTGAGTGAGTGGTGAGTGAGTGAGTGAGTGGGTGGGTGAGTGAGTGAGTGAGTGGGTGGGTGGGTGAGTGAGTGAGTGAGTGGGTGGTGAGTGGGTGAGTGAGTGAGTGGGTGTGTGAGTGAGTGAGTGGGTGAGTGGGTGAGTGAGAGAGTGGTGAGTGAGTGGGTGAGTGAGTGGGTGGGTGAGTGAGTGAGTGAGTGGGTGAGTGAGTGAGTGGGTGGGTGAGTGAGTGGTGAGTAAGTGGTGAGTGAGTGGTGAGTTGGTTAGTGAGTGAGTGGTGAGTGAGTGGTGAGTGAGGGAGTGAGTGGATGGGTGAGTGGGTGGGTGAGTGAGTGAGTGGGTGAGTGAGTGAGTGGTGAGTGAGTGGTGAATAAGTGGTGAGTGAGTGGTGAGTGAGTGAGTGGGTGAGTGAGTGAGTGAGTGGGTGAGTGGATGAGTGAGTGAGTGGGTGAGTGAGTGGGTGGGTGCGTGAGTGGGTGGGTGGGTGGGTGAGTGAGTGAGTGAGTGGGTGGGTGGGTGAGTGAGTGAGTGAGTGGGTGAGTGGGTGAGAGAGTGAGTGGTGAGTGAGTGAGTGGGTGAGTGAGTGGGTGGGTGAGTGAGTGAGTGGTGAGTAAGTGGTGAGTGAGTGGTGAGTGGGTGAGTGAGTGAGTGAGTGGTGAGTGAGTGGTGAGTAAGTGGTGAGTTAGTGGGTGAGTGGTGAGTGAGTGAGTCGTGAGTGAGTGGTGAGTAAGTGGTGAGTGGTGAGTGAGTGAGTGGGTGAGTGAGTGAGTGAGTGGTGAGTGAGTGGGTGAGTGGGTGAGTGAGTGGGTAAGTGAGTGGGTGGGTGCGTGAGTGGGTGAGTCGGTGGGTGAGTGAGTGAGTGAGTCGGTGGGTGAGTGAGTGGGTGGTGAGTGGGTGAGTGGGTGAGTGGGTGAGTGAGTGAGTGAGTGGGTGAGTGGGTCAGTGAGTGAGTGGTGAGTGAGTGAGTGAGTGGATGAGTGAGTGGGTGGGTGAGTGAGTGAGTGGGTGAGTGAGTGGGTGGATGAGTGAGTGAGTGGTGAGTGAGTGGTGAGTAAGTGGTGAGTGAGTGGGTGAGTGGTGAGTGAGTGGGTGAGTGAGTGAGTGGTGAGTGAGTGGTGAGTAAGTGGTGAGTGAGTGGGTGAGTGGTGAGTGAGTGGGTGAGTGAGTGGTGAGTAAGTGGTGAGTGAGTGGTGAGTGAGTGGGTGAGTGAGTGAGTGAGTGGTGAGTGAGTGGGTGAGTGGGTGAGTGGGTGAGTGGGTGCGTGAGTGGGTGGGTGGGTGAGTGAGTGAGTGGGTGAGTGGGTCAGTATGTGAGTGGTGAGTGAGTGAGTGGGTGAGAGAGTGGGTGGGTGAGTGAGTGAGTAAGTGGGTGAGTGAGTGGGTCGGTGAGTGAGTGAGTGGTGAGTAAGTGGTGAGTGAGTGGTGAGTGGGAGAGTGAGTGAGTGGTGAGTGAGTGGTGAGTAAGTGGTGAGTGAGTGGGTGAGTGGTGAGTGAGTGAGTGGGTGAGTGAGTGAGTGGTGAGTGAGTGTTGAGTAAGTGGTGGGTGAGTAGGTGAGTGGTGAGTGAGTGGGTGAGTGAGTGAGTGGTGAGTAAGTGGTGAGTGAGTGGTGAGTGAGTGAGTGCGTGAGTGAGTGAGTGGTGAGTGAGTGGGTGAGTGGGTGAGTGGGTGAGTGAGTAAGTGGTGAGTGAGTGAGGGGGTGAGTGAGTGAGTGGGTGAGTGAGTGAGTGAGTGGGTGAGTGAGTGGGTGAGTGAGTGGTGAGTGAGTGAGTGAGTGGTGAGTAAGTGGTGAGTGAGTGGTGAGTGAGTGGTGAGTGAGTGAGTGAGTGGTGAGTGAGTGGTGAGTAAGTGGTGAGTGAGTGGGTGAGTGGTGGGTGAGTGAGTGAGTGGTGAGTAAGTGGTGAGTGAGTGGTGAGTGAGTGGGTGAGTGAGTGGTGAGTGAGTGGGTGAGTGGGTGAGTGGGTGAGTGAGTGAGTGAGTAAGTGGTGAGTGAGTGAGTGGATGAGTGAGTGAGTGAGTGGGTGAGTGAGTGGGTGAGTGAGTGGGTGAGTGAGTGGTGAGTGAGTGAGTGAGTGGTGAGTAAGTGGTGAGTGAGTGGGTGAGTGAGTGGGTGAGTGAGTGGTGAGTGAGTGAGTGGTAAGTAAGTTGTGAGTGAGTGGTGAGTGAGTGGTGAGTGGTGAGTTAGTGAGGGAGTGGTGAGTAAGTGGTGAGTGAGTGGTGAGTGAGTGGGTGAGTGAGTGGTGAGTGAGTGGGTGAGTGGGTGAGTGGGTGAGTGAGTGAGTGAGTAAGTGGTGAGTGAGTGAGTGGATGAGTGAGTGAGTGAGTGGGTGAGTGAGTGGGTGAGTGAGTGGGTGAGTGAGTGGTGAGTGAGTGAGTGAGTGGTGAGTAAGTGGTGAGTGAGTGGGTGAGTGAGTGGGTGAGTGAGTGGTGAGTGAGTGAGTGGTAAGTAAGTTGTGAGTGAGTGGTGAGTGAGTGGTGAGTGGTGAGTTAGTGAGGGAGTGGTGAGTAAGTGGTGAGTGAGTGGTGAGTGAGTGGTGAGTAAGTGGTGAGTGAGTGAGTGGTGAGTGAGTGGTGAGTAAGTGGTGAGTGAGTGGGTGAGTGGTGAGTGAGTGGGTGAGTGAGTGAGTGGTGAGTAAGTGGTGAGTGAGTGGTGAGTGAGTGAGTGGGTGAGTGAGTGAGTGGGTCAGTGAGTGAGTGGTGAGTGAGTGAGTGGGTGAGTGAGTGGGTGGTGAGTGAGTGAGTGAGTGGTGAGTAAGTGGTGAGTGAGTGGTGAGTGAGTGAGTGAGTGGGTGAGTGAGTGAGTGGGTCAGTGAGTGAGTGGTGAGTGAGTGAGTGGGTGAGTGAGTGAGTGGGTGAGTGAGTGAGTGAGTGGGTGAGTGAGTGGGTGGGTGAGTGAGTGAGTGGTGAGTAAGTGGTGACTGAGTGGGTGAGTGGTGAGTGAGTGAGTGGGTGAGTGAGTGAGTGTTGAGTGAGTGGTGAGTAAGTGGTGACTGAGTGGGTGAGTGGTGAGTGAGTGAGTGGGTGAGTGAGTGAGTGGTGAGTGAGTAAGTGGTGAGTGAGTGGTGAGTGAGTGAGTGAGTGGGTGAGTGAGTGAGTGGTGAGTAAGTGGTGAGTGAGTGGTGAGTGGGTGAGTGGGTGAGTGAGTGAGTAAGTGGTGAGTGAGTGGGTGAGTGGTGAGTGAGTGGGTGAGTGAGTGAGTGAGTGGTGAGTAAGTGGTGAGTAAGTGGTGAGTGAGTGGTGAGTGGGTGAGTTGGTGAGTGAGTGAGTAAGTGGTGAGTGAGTGAGTGGGTGAGTGGGTGAGTGAGTGGGTGAGTGAGTGGGTGAGTGAGTGGTGAGTGAGTGAGTGGTGAGTAAGTGGTGAGTGAGTGGTGAGTGAGTGGTGAGTGAGTGGTGAGTGAGTGAGTGAGTGTTGAGTGAGTGGTGAGTGAGTGAGTGGTGAGTGAGTGGTGAGTGAGTGGTGAGTGAGTGGTGAGTAAGTGGTGAGTGAGTGGTGAGTGAGTGGTGAGTGAGTGGTGAGTGAGTGAGTGAGTGTTGAGTGAGTGGTGAGTGAGTGAGCGGTGAGTGAGTGGTGAGTGAGTGGTGAGTGAGTGGTGAGTGAGTGGTGAGTGAGTGAGTGTTGAGTGAGTGGTGAGTGAGTGAGTGGTGAGTGAGTGGTGAGTGAGTGGTGAGTGAGTGGTGAGTGAGTGGTGAGGCTACTCACGGTTTCCGTAACTTTGTGAAAGTTCTCAGAAGTTTCTTCTCGTCCCAGAGAGAGGAAGACACCACCACCACACCACGTGGTGTCAACAACTCCCACAGTCTCAACAACCATGCTGCAACAACAACAACATCAACATCAACAACATCAACAACAACATCAACAACAACATCAACAACATCAACAACAACATCAACATCAACAACATCAACAACAACATCAACAACATCAACAACAACAACATCAACAACAACATCAACAACATCAACAACAACAACAACATCAACAACATCAACAACAACAATAACAACATCAACCTTAACAACAACAACATCAACAACAACATCAACAACAACAACATCAACAACATCAACAACAACAACAACATCAACAACATCAACAACAACATCAACAACAACATCAACATCAACAACAACATCAACAACAACAACAACATCAACATCAACAACATCAACAACATCAACATCAACAACATCAACAACAACATCAACAACAACATCATCACCACCATCACCATCATCACCACCACTATCACCACCACCATCACTATCACCACCATCACCACCTTCACCATCATCACCACCATCACCATCACCACCACCACCATCACCACCACCATCACCACCACCATCACCACCACCATCACCATCACCACCACCATCACCACCACCACCATCACCATCACCACCATCACCACCACCACCATCACCATCACCACCACCACCACCACCATCACCACCACCACCATCACCACCACCACCATCACCACCATCACCACCACTACCACCACCACCATCACCACCACCATCACCACCATCACCATCACCACCACCACCATCATCACCACCACCACCACCATCATCACCACCATCACCACCACCACCACCATCATCACCACCATCACCACCATCACCATCACCACCACCATCACCACCACCATCACCACCACCATCACCATCACCACCACCACCACCACCATCACCACCACCATCATCACCACCACCACCATCATCACCACCACCACCACCACCATCACCACCATCACCATCACCACCATCACCACCACCACCACCACCATCACCACCACCGCCATCACCACCACCACCATCACCACCATCACCATCACCACCACCACCACCATCACCACCATCACCACCACCATCACCACCACCATCATCACCACCACCATCACCACCACCACCATCATCACCACCACCACCACCATCACCACCATCACCATCACCACCATCACCACCACCACCACCATCACCACCATCACCACCACCACCACCATCATCACCACCACCACCATCACCACCACCACCATCACCACCACCACCATCACCACCACCACCACCATCACCACCACCATCACCTGTGGGGTTGAGGCAACGATCCAGGAAGTCGACCAGCACGAGGTCGTGAACTCCAACCTCGTTCGGGATCCACGTCAGCTGCTCAACAACAATCACAAAAACAACATTCACAACAACAACAACAACCACAACAACAATTACAACAACAACAACCACAACAACAACAACCACAACAACAATCACAACAACAACAACACTCACAACAACCAAAACTAAAAACAATCACAACAACAACAATCACAACAACACTCACAACAACCACAACAACACTCACAACAACCACAACAACAACAATCACAATAACCACAACAACCACAACAACACTCACAACAACCACAACAACCACAACAACACTCACAACAACCACAACAACCACAACAACCACAACAACAACCACAACAACACTCACAACAACCACAACAACAATCACAACAACCACAACAACCACAACAACACTCACAACAAAAATAATAAAAATCGAGTTAAATAAAAACATGGAGTTAAATTGGGAAATAATAAAAATCGAGTTAAATTGAAAAAAAATAAAAATCGAGTAAAAATAAAAATAATAAAAATCGAGTTAACTTTAAAAATAATAAAAATCGAGTTAAATAAAAAATCGAGTTAAATTGAAAAAATAATAAATATCGAGTTAAACAAAAAAATAATATAAATCGAGTGAAATAAAAAAAAATCGAGTTAAATAAAAAATTGAGTTAAATTTAAAAATAATAAAAATCGAGTAAAATTAAAAAATAATAAAAATCGAGTTAAATTAAAAAAAATCGAGTTAAAGAAAAAAATAATAAAAATCGAGTAAAATAAAAATAAAATCGAGTTAACTTAAAAAAATAATAAAAATCGAGTTAAATAAAAAAAATGGAGTTAAATTGAAAAATAATAAAAATCGAGTAAAATAAAAAAAAATCGAGTTAAATTAAAAAAATGGAGTTAAATTGAAAAATAATAAAAATCGAGTAAAATTAAAAAATAATAAAAATCGAGTTAAACAAAAAAATAATAAAAATCGAGTTAAATAAAAATAATAAAAATCGAGTTAAATTTAAAAATGGAGTTAAATTGAAAAATAATAAAAATCGAGTAAAATTAAAAAATAAACAAAAAAATAATAAAAATCGAGTTAAATAAAAATAATAAAAATCGAGTTAAATAAAAAAATAATAAAAAATCGAGTTAAATAATAAAAATCGAATTTAAATTTTGATTTAAAGCTTTCGTGACTGCAGTAATTCATATTCTTAGTTTTTTCGGTAAAGTCACGTTGAAGAGAAACAACAAAATAACACCTGATGATGACCGTTTGAGTTATGGTCGAAACGTCGTGAGAATTTTTTATTGTTTTATATATATTTTGTTATTTTGTTGTTTCTCTTCAACGTGACTTTACCGAAAAAACTAAGAATAAAAATCGAGTTAAATTGAAAAAAAATAATATAAATCGAGTAAAATTAAAAAATCATAAAAATCGAGTTAAACAAAAAAAAATCGAGTTAAATTAAAAATAATAAAAATCGAGTTAAATTTAAAAATGGAGTTAAATTGAAAAATAATAAAAATCGAGTAAAATTTAAAAATAATAAAAATCGAGTTAAATAAAAAAAAATCGAGTTAAAGAAAAAAAAAATCGAGTAAAATAAAAATAAAATCGAGTTAAATTAAAAAATAATAAAAATCGAGTTAAATAAAAAATTTCGAGTTAAATAAAAAAAATCGAGTTAAATAAAAAATAATAAAAATCGAGTAAAATAAAAATATAATAAAAATCGAGTTAAACAAAAAAATAATAAAAATCGAGTTAAATAAAAAAAAATAACAATCGAGTTAAATAAAAAAATCGAGTTAAATTGAAAAATAATAAAAATCGAGTTAAATTAAAAAATGGAGTTAAATTGAAAAATAATAAAAATCGAGTAAAATTAAAAATAATAAAAATCGAGTGAAATTGAAAAAAATAATAATATAAATCGAGTAAAATTAAAAAATAATAAAAATCGAGTTAAACAAAAATAAAATCGAGTTAAATAAAAATAATAATAATAATCGAGTTAAATTAAAAATATCAAGTTAAATTAAAAAAAATCGAGTTAAATAAAAAAAATAAAAATCGAGTTAAATAAAAAAATAATAAAAATCTAGTTAAATAAAAAAAATCGAGTTAAATAAAAAATAATAAAAATCGAGTTAAATAAAAATAATAATCGAGTTAAATTTTAAAATAATAAAAATCGAGTTAAACAAAAAAATTATATAAATCGAGTTAAATTTAAAAATAATAAAAATCGAGTTAAATAAAAAATCGTGTTAAATAAAAAATTAATAAAAATCGAGTTAAATAAAAATCATAAAAATCGAGTTAAATTTAAAAAAAAATAAAAATCGAGTTAAATAAAAAATTGAGTAAAATTTAAAAATAATAAAAATCGAGCAAAATTAAAAAAATAATAAAAAATCGAGTTAAATTAAAAAAATCGAGTTATAAAAAAAAAAAAATCGAGTTAAATTTAAAAATAATAAAAATCGAGTTAAATAAAAAAAATGGAGTTAAATTTAAAAATAATAAAAATCGAGTTAAACAAAAAATAATAAAAATCGAGTTAAATTAAAAAAATAATAAAAATCGAGTAAAATAAAAAAAATCGAGTTAAATTAAAAAAATAATAAAAATTAGAGTTAAATAAAAAATTTAGTTAAATTTAAAAATAATAAAAATCGAGTAAAATTAAAAAATAATAAAAATCGAGTTAAATAAAAAAAATGGAGTTAAATAAAAAAAAAAATCGAGTTAAACAAAAAATAATAAAAATCGAGTTAAATTTAAAAAATAATAAAAATCGAGTTAAATTAAAAAATAATAAAAAATCGAGTTAAATAAAAAATGGAGTTAAATTGAAAAATAATAAAAATCGAGTTAAATAAAAAATCGAGTTAAATTGAAAAAATAATAAATATCGAGTTAAACAAAAAAAATAATAAAAATCGAGTTAAATAAAAAAATATAAAAAAAATCGAGTTAAATTAAAAAATAATAAAAATCGAGTTAAATAAAAAATGGAGTTGAAAAATAATAAAAATCGAGTAAAATTAAAAAAATAATAAAAATCGAGTTAAATAAAAAATCGAGTTAAATAAAAATAATAAAAATCGAGTAAAATTAAAAAATAATAAAAATCGAGTTAAACAAAAATAAAATCGAGTTAAATTAAAAAATAATAAAAATCGAGTTAAATTAAAAAATGGAGTTAAATTGAAAAATAATAAAAATCGAGTAAAATTAAAAAATAATAAAAATCGAGTTAAATTATAAAATAATATAAATCGAGTTCAACAAAAAAATAATATAAATCGAGTTAAATAAAAAAAAATCGAGTTAAATAAAAATAATAAAATCGAGTTAAATTAAAAAATAATAAAAATCCAGTTAAATTATAAAATAATATAAATCGAGTTAAATAAAAAAAATCGAGTTGAATAAAAATAATAAAAATCGTGTTAAATAAAAAATGGAGTTAAATTGAAAAATAATAACCAAAGAACCAAGAATAATATTTTATTGTTTTATATTTTTATTATTTTATTGTTTCCCTTCTACGTGGTGGTGACTTTACCCAAAGAACCAAGAATAATATTTTATTGTTTTATATTTTTATTATTTTATTGTTTCCCTTCTACGTGGTGGTGACTTTACCCAAAGAACCAAGAATAATATTTTATTGTTTTATATTTTTATTATTTTATTGTTTCCCTTCTACGTGGTGGTGACTTTACCCAAAGAACCAAGAATAATAATTTTATTGTTTTATATTTTTGTTATTTTATTGTTTCCCTTCTACGTGGTGGTGACTTTACCCAAAGTACCAAGAATAATAATTTTATTGTTTTATATTTTTATTATTTTATTGTTTCCCTTCTAACGTGGTGGTGACTTTACCCAAAAAACCAAGAATAATAATTTCAATGTTGAAGCTTTCGTTACTATAGGAATTTATAATCTTTGGTTCTTACGGTAAAGTCATCACGTAGGTAGGAAAATCAAAGGAAAGTTATTTATTTACTTAAAAATTCACATAGGTATAAAATAATTAACATTTTATTTCATTTTAAATTTCACGTAGGTATAAAATAATTAACATTTTATTTTATTAAAAAAATCACGTAGGTATAAAATACAATTTTATTTTATAAAATAAAATTTCACCACCATCATCACCACCATCACCACCATCACCATCATCACCATCACCACCACCACCATCATCACCACCACCACCACCACCATAACCATCACTATCACCACCATCACCACCATCACCATCACCACCACCATCATCACCACCACCACCACCACCATAACCATCACCATCACCACCATCACCACCATCACCATCACCACCACCATCACTACCACCACCACCATCATCACCATCACCACCATCATCACCACCACCACCACCATCACCACCACCACCATCACCACCACCACCACCATCACCACCACCACCATCACCACCACCACCATCACCACCACCACCATCACCACTACCACCACCATCACCACCATCACCACCATCACCACCATCACCTGCTTGAAGCTGACACTGTGTGGTTGATGTTGTTGTTGTTGTTGATGTTGATGTTCTTGTTGTTGATGTTGTTGATGTTGTTGCTTGAGGATCGACTCCAGGAGTGAGGGTGGAGTGGCCGGGAGGTGGTGGACTCCTCCCACCTCGTCACCCACCTCGTCCACCTCGTGACTCACCACGTCCACCTCGTCCACCTGGTCACACACCACGTCACCCACCTCGTCCACCACGTCACTCCCCACGTCACTCACCACGTCACTCACCACGTCACTCACCACGTCACCCACCACGTCACTCACCTCGTCACTCACCACGTCACTCACCACGTCACCCACCTCGTCACTCAACACGTCACTCACCTCGTCACTCACCACGTCACTCACCACGTCACTCACCACGTCACTCACCTCGTCACTCACCACGTCACTCACCACGTCACTCACCACGTCACTCACCACGTCACTCACCACGTCACCCACCTCGTCCACCACCACGTCACTCACCTCGTCACTCACCACGTCACTCACCACGTCACTCACCTCGTCACTCACCTCGTCACTCACCACGTCACTCACCTCGTCACTCACCTCGTCACTCACCACGTCACTCACCTCGTCACTCACCACGTCACACACCACGTCACTCACCACGTCACCCACCACGTCACTCACCAGCTCACCACGTCACTCACCACGTCACTCACCACGTCACTCACCACGTCACCCACCACGTCACTCACCACGTCACCCACCACGTCACTCACCACGTCACTTACCTCGTCACTCACCACGTCACTCACCACGTCACTCACCACGTCACTCACCTCGTCACCCACCTCGTCACTCAACTCGTCCACCTTGTCACCCATCTCGTCACTCAGCTCGTCCACTACGTCACTCACCACGTCACTCACCTCGTCACTCACCTCGTCACTCACCACGTCCACCACCACGTCACTCACCACGTCACTCACCACGTCACCCACCTCGTCCACCACCACGTCACTCACCACGTCACTCACCTCGTCACTCACCACGTCACTCACCACGTCACTCACCTCGTCACTCACCACGTCACTCACCACGTCACTCACCACGTCACTCACCTCGTCACTCACCTCGTCACTCAGCTGCCTCGTCACTCACCACGTCACTCACCACGTCACTCACCACGTCACTCACCACGTCACCCACCTCGTCACTCACCACGTCACTCACCTCGTCACCCACATAGTCACTCACCACGTCACTCACCACGTCACCCACCTCGTCCACCACCACGTCACTCACCACGTCACCCACCTCGTCACTCACCACGTCACCCACCTCGTCACTCAACTCGTCCACCACGTCACCCACCTCGTCACTCAACTCGTCCACCTTGTCACCCACCTCGTCACTCAGCTCGTCCACCACGTCACTCACCTCGTCACCCACATAGTCACTCACCACGTCACTCACCACGTCCACCACCACGTCCACCACCTCGTCCACCACCACGTCACTCACCACGTCACTCACCACGTCCACCACCACGTCACTCACCACGTCACCCACCTGGTCCACCACCACGTCACTCACCTCGTCACTCACCACGTCACCCACCACGTCACTCACCACGTCACTCACCACGTCACTCACCACCTCGTCCACCACCTCGTCACCCACCTCGTCCACCACCTCGTCCACCTTCTGCTTCCTCAGCTGGGCTGTGAGGAGCTCAGCAGAAGTCACAAAGCGAGCAGAGAAATCGATCCCCAGCACCTGGCAACCACAACAACAATCACAACAATCACAATCACAACAACAATCACCATTACCACAACAACAATCACAACAATCACAATCACAACAACAATCACAACAACAATCACAACAACCACCATTACCACAACAACAACAACAACAATCAAAACAATCACCGTTACCACAACAACAACAACAACCACAACAACCACCATTACTAAAACAAGAACAACAACAACCACAACAACAACAACCACAACAACAACAATCACAACAACAACATCAACAACACAACATCAACAACATCATCAACAACAACAACAACAATCACAACAACAACAACAATCACAACAATCAAAACCACAACAACAATCACAACAACAACAACAATCACAACAATCAAAACCACAACAACAATCACAACAACAACAACAATCACAACAATCACAATCACAACAACCACAACAACAACAACACTCACCATTACCACAACAACAACAACAACCACAACAACAATCACCATTACCACAACAACAACAACAACAATCACAACAATCACCATTACCACAACAACAACAACAACAATCACAACAACATCAACAACAATTACCACAACAACAATCACAACAACAACAACAACCATTACCAAAACAACCACCATTACCACAACAACAACAACCACCATTACCACCACAACAACCACCATTACAACAACAACAATAATCACAACAACAACAACCACTATTACAACAACAACAATAATCACAACAACAACAACAACCATTACAACAACAACAACCATTACCACAACAACAAGAACAACAACCACCATTACCACAACAACAACAATCACAACAACAATCACAACCACAACAACCACCATTACCACAACAACAACAATCACAACAACAACAACAACAACACTCACAACAACAACCACAACAATCACAACAACCACCATTACAACAACAACCATTACAACAACCACCATTACAACAACAAACACAACAACAAAAACAACCACAACAACCACCATTACCACCACAACAACAACAACAATCACAACAACAACAACCATTACAATAACAACCATTACCACAACAACCATTACCACAACAACCATTACCACAACAACAACAATCACAACAACAACCACCATTACAACAACCACAACAACAACAACAACCACAACAACCACCATTACAACAACAACAACCATTACCACAACCACCATTACAACAACAACAACCACCATTACAACAACAACCATTACCACAACAACAACAACAACAAACACCATTACAACAACAACAACAACCATTACCACAACAACAACAACAACCACCATTACCACAACAACAACCACGCGAATGACTGAGTTGGTGAGTGAGTTGGTGAGTGTTTGGTGAGTGAGTTGGTGAGTGAGTTGGTGAATGAGTTGGTGAGTGAGTTGGTGAGTGTTTGGTGAGTGAGTTGCTGAGTGAGTTGGTGAGTGAGTTGGTGAGTGTTTGGTGAGTGAGTTGGTGAGTGAGTTGGTGAGTGAGTTGGTGAGTGAGTTGGTGAGTGTTTGGTGAGTGAGTTGGTGAGTGAGTTGGTGAGTGTTTGGTGAGTGAGTTGGTGAGGAGTTGGTGAGTGAGTTGGTGAGTGAGTTGGTGAGTGAGTTGGTGAGTGAGTTGGTGAGTGAGTTGGTGAGTTGGTGAGTGAGTTGGTGAGTTGGTGAGTGAGTTGGTGAGTGAGTTGGTGAGTGAGTTGGTGAGTTGGTGAGTGAGTTGGTGAGTGAGTTGGTGAGTGAGTTGGTGAGTGAGTTGGTGAGTTGGTGAGTGAGTTGGTGAGTGAGTTGGTGAGTTGGTGAGTGAGTTGGTGAGTGAGTTGGTGAATGAGTTGGTGAGTTGGTGAGTGAGTTGGTGAGTGAGTTGGTGAGTGAGTTGGTGAGTGAGTTGGTGAGTGAGTTGGTGAGTTGGTGAGTGAGTTGGTGAGTTGGTGAGTGAGTTGGTGAGTGAGTTGGTGAGTGAGTTGGTGAGTGAGTTGGTGAGTTGGTGAGTGAGTTGGTGAGTGAGTTGGTGAGTGAGTTGGTGAGTTGGTGAGTGAGTTGGTGAGTTGGTGAGTGGGTTGGTGAGTGAGTTGGTGAGTTACCACTCACCCAAGGAGCACACCCAGAATTGTGGATGTCTTGGTGAGTTGGTGAGTGAGTTGGTGAGTGAGTTGGTGAGTGAGTTGGTGAGTGAGTTGGTGAGTTGGTGAGTGAGTTGGTGAGTTGGTGAGTGAGTTGGTGAGTTGGTGAGTGAGTTGGTGAGTGAGTTGGTGAGTGAGTTGGTGAGTTGGTGAGTGAGTTGGTGAGTGAGTTGGTGAGTGAGTTGGTGAGTGAGTTGGTGAGTTGGTGAGTGAGTTGGTGAGTGAGTTGGTGAGTGAGTTGGTGAGTGAGTTGGTGAGTTGGTGAGTGAGTTGGTGAGTGAGTTGGTGAGTGAGTTGGTGAGTTGGTGAGTGAGTTGGTGAGTTGGTGAGTGGGTTGGTGAGTGAGTTGGTGAGTTACCACTCACCCAAGGAGCACACCCAGAATTGTGGATGTCTTGGTGAGTTGGTGAGTGAGTTGGTGAGTGAGTTGGTGAGTGAGTTGGTGAGTTGGTGAGTGAGTTGGTGAGTGAGTTGGTGAGTGAGTTGGTGAGTGGGTTGGTGAGTTGGTGAGTGAGTTGGTGAGTGATTTGGTGAGTGAGTGAGTGAGTTGGTGAGTGAGTGGTGAGTGAGTGAGTGGGTGAGTTGGTGAGTTAGTGAGGAGTTGGTGAGTGTTTGGTGAGTGAGTTGGTGAGGAGTTGGTGAGTGAGTTGGTGAGTGAGTTGGTGAGTTGGTGAGTGAGTTGGTGAGTGAGTTGGTGAGTGAGTTGGTGAGTTGGTGAGTGAGTTGGTGAGTTGGTGAGTGGGTTGGTGAGTGAGTTGGTGAGTTACCACTCACCCAAGGAGCACACCCAGAATTGTGGATGTCTTGGTGAGTTGGTGAGTGAGTTGGTGAGTGAGTTGGTGAGTGAGTTGGTGAGTTGGTGAGTGAGTTGGTGAGTGAGTTGGTGAGTGAGTTGGTGAGTGAGTTGGTGAGTTGGTGAGTGAGTTGGTGAGTGATTTGGTGAGTGAGTGAGTGAGTTGGTGAGTGAGTGGTGAGTGAGTGAGTGGGTGAGTTGGTGAGTTAGTGAGGAGTTGGTGAGTGTTTGGTGAGTGAGTTGGTGAGGAGTTGGTGAGTGTTTGGTGAGTGAGTTGGTGAGGAGTTGGTGAGGAGTTGGTGAGTGAGTTGGTGAGTGAGTTGGTGAGTGTTTGGTGAGTGAGTTGGTGAGTGAGTTGGTGAGTGAGTTGGTGAGTTGGTGAGGAGTTGGTGAGTGTTTGGTGAGTTGGTGAGTGAGTTGGTGAGTGAGTTGGTGAGGAGTTGGTGAGTGAGTTGGTGAGTTGGTGAGTGAGTTGGTGAGTGAGTTGGTGAGTGAGTTGGTGAGTTGGTGAGGAGTTGGTGAGTGTTTGGTGAGTGAGTTGGTGAGTGAGTTGGTGAGGAGTTGGTGAGTGAGTTGGTGAGTGAGTTGGTGAGGGAGTTGGTGAGTGAGTTGGTGAGTGAATTGGTGAGTTGGTGAGTGAGTTGGTGAGTTGGTGAGTGAGTTGGTGAGTGAGTTGGTGAATGAGTTGGTGAGTTGGTGAGTGAGTTGGTAAGTTGGTGAGTGAGTTGGTGAGTTGGTGAGTGAGTTGGTGAGTTGGTGAGTTGGTGAGTTGGTGAGTGAGTTGGTGAGTGAGTTGGTGAGTGTTTGGTGAGCTACCACTCACCCAGGGAGCACACCCAGAATTGTGGATGTCTTGGTGAGTTGGTGAGTGAGTTGGTGAGTGAGTTGGTGAGTGAGTTGGTGAGTTGGTGAGTGAGTTGGTGAGTGAGTTGGTGAGTGAGTTGGTGAGTGAGTTGGTGAGTGAGTTGGTGAGTGATTTGATGAGTTGGTGAGTGAGTTGGTGAGTGAGTTGGTGAGTGAGTTGGTGAGTGAGTTGGTGAGTGAGTTGGTGAGTGAGTTGGTGAGTTGGTGAGTGAGTTGGTGAGTGAGTTGGTGAGTGAGTTGGTGAGTGAGTTGGTGAGTGATTTGATGAGTTGGTGAGTGAGTTGGTGAGTGAGTTGGTGAGTGAGTTGGTGAGTGAGTTGGTGAGTGAGTTGGTGAGTGAGTTGGTGAGTTGGTGAGTGAGTTGGTGAGTGAGTTGGTGAGTTGGTGAGTGAGTTGGTGAGTGAGTTGGTGAGTGAGTTGGTGAGTGAGTTGGTGAGTGAGTTGGTGAGTGAGTTGGTGGGTGAGTTGGTGAGTGAGTTGGTGAGTGAGTTGGTGAGTGGGTGAGTGAGTTGGTGAGTGAGTTGGTGAGTGAGTTGGTGAGTGAGTTGGTGAGTGAGTTGGTGAGTGAGTTGGTGAGTGGGTGAGTGAGTTGGTGAGTGAGTTGGTGAGTTGGGGAGTGAGTTGGTGAGTGAGTTGGTGAGTTGGTGAGTGAGTTGATGAGTTGGTGAGCTACCACTCACCCAGGGAGCACACCCAGAATTGTGGATGTCTTGGTGAGTTGGTGAGTGAGTTGGTGAGTGAGTTGGTGAGTGAGTTGGTGAGTGAGTTGGTGAGTGAGTTGGTGAGTGAGTTGGTGAGTTGGTGAGTGAGTTGGTGAGTGAGTTGGTGAGTGAGTTGGTGAGTGAGTTGGTGAGTGAGTTGGTGAGTTGGTGAGTGAGTTGGTGAGTGAGTTGGTGAGTGAGTTGGTGAGTGAGTTGGTGAGTGAGTTGGTGAGTGAGTTGGTGAGTTGGTGAGTGAGTTGGTGAGTGAGTTGGTGAGTGAGTTGGTGAGTTGGTGAGTTGGTGAGTGAGTTGGTGAGTGAGTTGGTGAGTGATTTGGTGAGTGAGTTGGTGAGTGAGTTGGTGAGTGAGTTGGTGAGTGTTTGGTGAGCTACCACTCACCCAAGGAGCACACCCAGAATTGTGGATGTCTTGGTGAGTTGGTGAGTGAGTTGGTGAGTGAGTTGGTGAGTGAGTTGGTGAGTGAGTTGGTGAGTTGGTGAGTGAGTTGGTGAGGAGTTGGTGAGTGTTTGGTGAGTGAGTTGGTGAGTGAGTTGGTGAGTGAGTTGGTGAGTGAGTTGGTGAGTTGGTGAGTGAGTTGGTGAGTGAGTTGGTGAGTTGGTGAGTGAGTTGGTGAGTGAGTTGGTGAGTGAGTTGGTGAGTGAGTTGGTGAGTGAGTTGGTGAGCTACCACTCACCCAGGGAGCACACCCAGAAGTGTGGATGTCTTGGTGAGTTGGTGAGTGAGTTGGTGAGTGATTTGGTGAGTGAGTAGGTGAGTTGGTGAGTGAGTAGGTGAGTGAGTTGGTGGGTGAGTTGGTGAGTGAGTTGGTGAGTGAGTTGGTGAGTGGGTGAGTGAGTTGGTGAGTGAGTTGGTGAGTGAGTTGGTGAGTGAGTGAGTGAGTTGGTGAGTTGGTGAGTGAGTTGGTGAGTGAGTTGGTGAGTGAGTTGGTGAGTGAGTTGGTGAGTTGGTGAGTGAGTTGGTGAGTGAGTTGGTGAGTGAGTTGGTGAGTGAGTTGGTGAGTGAGTTGATGAGTTGGTGAGCTACCACTCACCCAGGGAGCACACCCAGAATTGTGGATGTCTTGGTGAGTTGGTGAGTGAGTTGGTGAGTGAGTTGGTGAGTGAGTTGGTGAGTGAGTTGGTGAGTTGGTGAGTGAGTTGGTGAGTGAGTTGGTGAGTGAGTTGGTGAGTGAGTTGGTGAGTGTTTGGTGAGTGAGTTGGTAAGTGAGTTGGTGAGTGAGTTGGTGAGTGAGTTGGTGAGTGGGTGAGTGAGTTGGTGAGTGAGTTGGTGAGTGAGTTGGTGAGTGAGTTGGTGAGTTGGTGAGCTACCACTCACCCAGGGAGCACACCCAGAATTGTGGATGTCTTGGTGAGTTGGTGAGTGAGTTGGTGAGTGAGTTGGTGAGTGAGTTGGTGAGTGAGTTGGTGAGTTGGTGAGTGAGTTGGTGAGTGAGTTGGTGAGTGAGTTGGTGAGTGAGTTGGTGAGTGTTTGGTGAGTGAGTTGGTAAGTGAGTTGGTGAGTGAGTTGGTGAGTGAGTTGGTGAGTGGGTGAGTGAGTTGGTGAGTGAGTTGGTGAGTGAGTTGGTGAGTGAGTTGGTGAGTGAGTGAGTGAGTTGGTGAGTGAGTTGGTGAGTGAGTTGGTGAGTTGGTGAGTGAGTTGGTGAGTGAGTTGGTGAGTTGGTGAGTGAGTTGATGAGTTGGTGAGCTACCACTCACCCAGGGAGCACACCCAGAATTGTGGATGTCTTGGTGAGTTGGTGAGTGAGTTGGTGAGTGAGTTGGTGAGTGAGTTGGTGAGTGAGTTGGTGAGTGAGTTGGTGAGTTGGTGAGTGAGTTGGTGAGTGAGTTGGTGAGTGAGTTGGTGAGTGAGTTGGTGAGTGATTTGATGAGTTGGTGAGTGAGTTGGTGAGTGAGTTGGTGAGTGAGTTGGTGAGTTGGTGAGTTGGTGAGTGAGTTGGTGAGTGAGTTGGTGAGTGATTTGGTGAGTGAGTTGGTGAGTGAGTTGGTGAGTGAGTTGGTGAGTGTTTGGTGAGCTACCACTCACCCAGGGAGCACACCCAGAATTGTGGATGTCTTGTTGAGTTGGTGAGTGAGTTGGTGAGTGAGTTGGTGAGTGAGTTGGTGAGTGAGTTGGTGAGTTGGTGAGTGAGTTGGTGAGGAGTTGGTGAGTGTTTGGTGAGTGAGTTGGTGAGTGAGTTGGTGAGTGAGTTGGTGAGTGTTTGGTGAGTGAGTTGGTGAGTGAGTTGGTGAGTGAGTTGGTGAGTGTTTGGTGAGTGAGTTGGTGAGTGAGTTGGTGAGTGAGTTAGTGAGTGAGTTGGTGAGTGAGTGAGTGAGTTGGTGAGTGAGTTGGTGAGTTGGTGAGTGAGTTGGTGAGGAGTTGGTGAGTTGGTGAGTGAGTTGGTGAGTGAGTTGGTGAGTGTTTGGTGAGTGAGTTGGTGAGTGATTTGGTGAGTGTTACTCACGCGATTAAAGGCAACTGACAGATGGAGGCTTGTGGTACCCAGACCAGAACCGATCACCAGCGCTGAGTTGGGTGCCACCCCGAACCGTCGGACAAGCTCCAGGCAGTGGGCCGAGAGAGCCGCGGTGTAGCCAACAACACCATCACCATCACCACCATCACCATCACCACCATCACCATCACCGGAAGTTTGAGGAAATTCACGCAGAATCTGCAGCTGTGCAAAACCATCACCACCAACATCACCATCGTCACCAACATCATCACCATCACCACCATCACCATCACCACCATCACCATCACCACCATCATCACCATCACCACCATCACCATCACCACCACCACCAACATCACCACCACCATCACCACCACCACCACCATCACCATCATCACCACCACCACCACCATCACCACCACCATCACCACCACCACCATCACCACCACCATCACCATCACCACCATCACCATCATCACCACCACCACCACCACCATCACCACCACCATCACCACTACCACCACCATCACCACCACCACCATCACCATCAACATCATCACCAACATCACTAACATCACCATCACTAACATCATCACCAACATCATCACCGACATCACCACCATCATCACCACCATCATCACCATCATCACCACCATCACCACCATCACCATCAACATCATCACCAACATCACTAACATCACCATCACTAACATCATCACCAACATCATCACCGACATCACCACCATCATCACCACCACCATCACCACTACCACCACCATCACCACCACCACCATCACCATCAACATCATCACCAACATCACTAACATCACCATCACTAACATCATCACCAACATCATCACCGACATCACCACCATCATCACCACCATCATCACCATCATCACCACCATCACCACCATCAACATCATCACCAACATCACTAACATCACCATCACTAACATCATCACCACCATCATCACCATCATCACCACCATCACCACCATCACCACCATCATCACCATCACCACCAACATCACCATCGTCACCAACATCATCACCATCACCACCACCACCATCACCACCACCACCACCACCATCACCACCATCACCACCACCACCACCATCACCACCACCATCACCACCACCACCACCATCACCACCACCATCACCACTACCACCACCATCACCACCACCAACATCACCACCAACATCACCACCATCACCATCATCACCACCACCACCACCACCATCACCACCACCATCACCACTACCACCACCATCACCACCACCACCATCACCATCAACATCATCACCAACATCACTAACATCACCATCACTAACATCATCACCACCATCATCACCATCATCACCATCACCACCACCACCATCACCACCAACATCACCACCACCACCATCACCACCACCACCAACATCACCACCATCACTAACATCATCATCACCATCATCACCATCACCACCACCACCATCACCACCAACATCACCAACATCCTCATGTGGTTGTTGTGGTTTTAGTGGTTGTTGTTGATGTGGTTGTTGTTGTTCTGCTTGTTGTGGTGGTTGTTGTGGTTGTGGTTGTTGTTGTGGTTGTTGTTGTGGCTGTTGTTGTTGGTGTGGTTGATGTTGTTGTTGTTGTTGTGGTTGTTGTTGTTGGTGTGGTTGATGTTGTTGTTGTTGTTGTGGTTGTTGTTGCTGTTGTTGTGGTTGTTGTTGATGTTGTTGTTGTTGTTGTGTTGTTGTTGTGGTTGTTGTTGTGGTTGTTGTTGTGGTTGTGGTTGTTGTGGTAGTTGTTGATGTTGTTGTTGTTGATGTTATGGTTGTTGTTGTGGTTGTTGTTGTTGTTGTGGTAGTTGTTGTGGTGGTTGTTGTGGTGGTTGTTGTTGTTGTTGATGTTGATGTTGTTTACTCTGAGTGATTCGTCGCTCTCCCAGTCCATCTGAGTGTTGACGCTGTGCTCAACATCCGGGCACAACCCCAACAACAACAACGACGCAGAGCCTGCAACAACAACAACATCAACAACATCATCATCAACAACAACAACATCAACAACATCAACAACAACAACATCAACAACATCATCATCAACAACAACAACATCAACAACGTCAACAACAACATCAACAACAACAACATCAACAACATCAACAACAACAACAACATCATCAACAACAACAACAATAACATCAACAACATCAACAACATCAACAACCACAACATCATCAACAACAACATCATCAACAACAACATCAACAACAACATCAACAACAACAACATCAACAACATCATCAACAACATCAACAACAACATCAACAACATCAACATCATCAACAACAACATCAACAACATCATCAACAACAACATCAACAACATCAACAACATCAAAAACAACAACATCAACAACAACATCATCAACAACAACATCAACAACAACATCAACAACAACAACATCAACAACATCATCAACAACATCAACAACATCAACAACAACATCAACAACATCAACATCATCAACAACAACATCAACAACATCATCAACAACAACATCAACAACATCAACAACATCAACAACATCAACATCATCACCATCGCCACCACCATCACCACCATCACCACCATCACCATCACCACCACCATCACCACCATCACCATCATCACCACCATCATCATCACCATCACCACCATCACCACCACCATCATCAGCATCACCACCACCATCACCATCACCACCATCACCATCATCACCACCATCATCACCACCATCATCACCATCACCACCATCACCACTACCATCACCATCACCACCACCATCACCACCACCATCACCACCACCATCACCACCACCATCACCACCATCACCACCATCATCACCATCACCACCATCATCACCATCACCACCATCACCACCACCATCACCACCACCATCACCATCACCACCATCACCACCATCACCACCATCACCACCACCATCACCACCATCACCACCACCATCACCACCATCACCATCACCACCATCACGACCACCATCACCACCATCATCACCACCACCATCACCACCATCACCACCACCACCATCACCACCATCATCACCACCACCATCACCACCACCACCACCATCACCACCATCATCACCACCATCATCACCACCATCACCATCACCACCATCACCATCACCACCATCACCACCATCACCACCACCACCACCACCACCACCACCATCACCACCATCACCACCATCACCATCACCACCATCACCACCACCATCATCACCACCACCACCATCACCACCATCACCACCATCACCATCACCACCACCATCATCACCACCATCACCATCACCACCACCATCACCACCACCATCACCACCATCACCATCATCACCATCACCACCATCACCACCACCATCACCACCACCATCACCACCATCACCACCATCACCACCACCATCACCACAACCATCACCACCATCACCATCACCACCATCACGACCACCATCACCACCATCATCACCACCACCATCACCACCATCACCACCACCACCACCATCACCACCATCATCACCACCACCATCACCACCACCACCACCATCACCACCATCATCACCACCATCATCACCACCATCACCACCATCACCACCATCACCACCACCATCACCACCATCACCACCACCATCACCACCATCACCACCATCACCATCACCACCATCACCACCACCATCATCACCACCACCACCATCACCACCATCACCACCATCACCATCACCACCACCATCATCACCACCATCACCATCACCACCACCATCACCACCACCATCACCACCATCACCATCATCACCATCACCACCATCACCACCACCATCACCACCACCATCACCACCATCACCACCATCACCACCACCATCACCACAACCATCACCACCATCACCATCACCACCATCACGACCACCATCACCACCATCATCACCACCACCATCACCACCATCACCACCACCACCACCATCACCACCATCATCACCACCACCATCACCACCACCACCACCATCACCACCATCATCACCACCATCATCACTACCATCACCACCATCACCACCATCACCACCACCATCACCACCATCACCACCACCATCACCACCATCACCATCACCACCATCACGACCACCATCACCACCATCATCACCACCACCATCACCACCATCACCACCACCACCACCATCACCACCATCATCACCACCACCATCACCACCACCACCACCATCACCACCATCATCACCACCATCATCACCACCATCACCATCACCACCATCACCATCACCACCATCACCACCATCACCACCACCACCATCACCAACATCACCACCATCACCATCACCACTATCACCACCACCATCATCACCACCACCACCATCACCACCATCACCACCATCACCATCACCACCATCACCACCACCATCATCACCACCATCACCATCACCACCACCATCACCACCACCATCACCACCATCACCATCATCACCATCACCACCATCACCACCACCATCACCACCACCATCACCATCACCACCATCACCACCATCACCACCACCATCACCACCATCACCACCACCATCACCACCATCACCATCACCACCATCACGACCACCATCACCACCATCATCACCACCACCATCACCACCATCACCACCACCATCACCACCATCATCACCACCACCATCACCACCACCACCACCATCACCACCATCATCACCACCATCATCACCACCATCACCATCACCACCATCACCATCACCACCATCACCACCATCACCACCATCACCACCATCACCACCATCACCACCATCACCATCACCACCACCACCATCATCACCACCATCACCATCACCACCATCACCATCACCACCATCACCATCACCACCATCACCACCATCACCACCACCACCACCACCATCACCACCATCACCACCATCACCATCACCACCATCACCACCACCATCATCACCACCACCACCATCACCACCATCACCACCATCACCATCACCACCATCACCACCACCATCATCACCACCATCACCATCACCACCACCACCACCATCACCACCACCATCACCATCACCACCATCATCATCAACACCATCACCACCACCATCACCACCACCATCACCACCACCATCACCACGTCTCACCTTCAGTACAACGCTGTTGTAATTCACAGCAATTTGTCACCATCACCACCGGACTGGTTCCATCTGATGATGGTGGTGATGGTAATGGTGGTGATGGTGATGGTGGTGATGGTGGTGATGGTAGTGATGGTAGTGATGGTGGTGATGGTAGTGATGGTGTTATTGGTGCTGATGTTGCTGATGATGATGTTGTTGATGTTGTTGATGTTGTTGGTGTTGATGTTGATGGTGATGGTGTTGATGCTGATGATGCTGTTGATGTTGTTGTTGATGTTGTAGATGATGTTGATGTTGTTGATGTTGTTGTCGTTGTTGATGTTGTTGATTGTGGTGCTGATGTTGATGCTGGTGATGTTGTTGTAGATGATGGTGTTGATGGTGATGTAGATGATGATGTTGACGGTGATGTTGATGGTGATGATGGTGATGTTGGTGATGTTTGTGATGTTGTTGATGGTGTTGATGATGATGTTGATGGTGATGTTGTTGTAGATGATGTTGATGGTGATGTTTTTGATGTTGATGTTGCAGATGATGGTGATGTTGATGATGTTGTTGATGTTGATGGTGATGTTGTTGTGGATGATGTTGATGGTGATGTTTTTGATGTTGTAGATGATGGTGATGTTTTTGATGTTGATGTTGTTGATGATGATGTTGTTGTTGATGATGATGTTGATGTTGTTGTTGTAGATGTTGGTGGTGATGATGAAATTGATGTTGAAGATGTTGTTGTTGATGTTGATGGTGATGGTGTTGATGTTGTTGTTGATGATGGTGATGGTGTTGATGATGATGTTGATGTTGTTGTTGATGATGGTGATGGTGTTGATGATGATGTTGTTGTTGTAGATGTTGGTGGTGATGGTGATGATGTTGTTGTTGTTGATGGTGTTGTTGTTGATGATGTTGTTGATGATGTTGATGTTGTAGATGATGATGGTGTTGTTGTTGACGATGTTGTTGTTGATGATGTTGATGATGTTGTTGTTGATGTTGGTGTTGATGGTGATGTTGTAGATGGTGATGATGTTGTTGATGATGTTGATGTTGTAGATGATGATGGTGTTTTTGTTGACGATGTTGTTGTTGATGGTGTTGTTGTTGATGATGTTGTTGTTGTTGTTGTAGATGTTGGTGGTGATGGTGATGTTGTAGATGATGATGATGTTGATGTTGTAGATGATGATGGTGTTGTTGTAGATGTTGGTGGTGATGGTGATGTTGTAGATGATGATGATATTGATGTTGTTGTTGTTGACGATGTTGTTGTTGACGATGGTGATGTTGTTGATGTTGTTGATGTTGTTGTTGTTGTAGATGTTGGTGGTGATGGTGATGTTGTAGATGATGATGATGTTGATGTTGTAGATGATGATGGTGTTGTTGTAGATGTTGGTGGTGATGGTGATGTTGTAGATGATGATGATGTTGATGTTGTTGTTGTTGACGATGTTGTTGTTGACGATGGTGATGTTGTTGATGTTGTTGATGTTGTTGTTGTTGTAGATGTTGGTGGTGATGTTGATGTTGAAGATGATGATGGTGTTTTTGTTGACGATGTTGTTGTTGATGGTGTTGTTGTTGACGATGTGGTTGTTGAAGATGGTGATGGTGTTGTTGTTGATGTTGTTGTTGTTGATGTTGTTGTTGATGGTGATGTTGTAGATGGTGATGTTGTTGTTGACGATGTTGATGTTGTTGATGTTGTTGATGTTGTTGTTGATGTTGATGGTGTTGATGTTGTTGTTGTTGATGGTGTTGATGATGTTGTTGTTGTTGTTGATGGTAGGAGACTGCGTGCGACACGGAAGCCCAGGTGTTGGTGGAAGTGTCGCCTGAAAGCAAACCGGCCCGTGGGGGACGCCAGCGAACCCGTGGACATCCACGAGCCGCCCTGGAAGACAACAACATCAACAACAACAACAACAACAACAACAACATCAACAACATCATCAACAACAACAACATCATCAACAACAACATCAACAACAACATCAACATCATCAACAACAACAACATCATCAACAACAACATCAACAACAACATCAACAACAACATCAACATCAACAACAACAACATCAACAACAACAACAACATCAACATCATCAACAACAACATCATCAACAACAACAACATCAACAACATCAACAACACAACAACATCAACATCAACAACAACATCAACAACAACATCAACATCAACAACATCATCATCATCAACAACATCATCAACAACAACATCAACAACAACATCAACAACAACATCAACAACATCAACAGCAACAACAACATCAACAACAACAACATCAACAACAACATCAACAACAACAACAACATCAACATCATCAACAACAACAACATCAACAACAACATCAACAACAACATCAACATCATCAACAACAACAACAACACAACAACACCAACAACATCATCAACAACAACATCAACAACAACAACAACATCAACAACAACAACATCATCAACAACAACATCAACAACAACATCAACAACATCATCAACAACATCAACAACATCAACATCAACAACAACAACATCAACAACAACATCAACAACAACAACAACAACAACATCAACAACAACATCATCAACAACATCAACATCATCAACATCAACAACAACATCATCAACAACAACAACATCAACAACACAACAACATCAACATCAACAACAACATCAACAACAACATCAACATCATCAACATCATCATCATCAACAACATCATCAACAACATCATCAACAACATCAACATCATCAACATCAACAACAACATCATCAACAACAACAACATCAACAACACAACAACATCAACATCAACAACAACATCAACAACAACATCAACATCATCAACATCATCATCATCAACAACATCATCAACAACATCATCAACAACAACATCAACAACAACAACATCAACAACATCAACAGCAACAACAACATCATCAACAACAACATCAACATCATCAACAACAACAACACAACAACACCAACAACATCATCAACAACAACATCAACAACAACAACAACATCAACAACAACAACATCATCAACAACAACATCAACAACAACATCAACAACAACATCATCAACAACAACAACATCAACAACATCAACAACACAACAACATCAACAACAACATCAACATCAACAACAACATCATCAACAACAACAACATCAACAACAACATCATCAACAACAACATCAACAACATCATCAACAACAACAACATCAACAACAACAACATCAACAACAACATCAACAACATCATCAACAACATCAACAACAACATCAACATCAACAACAACAACAACACCAACAACATCAACAACAACATCAACAACAACAACATCAACAACAACATCAACAACAACATCAACAACATCAACAACAACATCAACAACAACATCAACAACATCAACAACAACATCAACAACAACATCAACAACAACATCAACAACAACATCAACAACATCAACAACAACATCAACATCATCAACAACAACAACAACATCAACAACAACAATAACAACATCAACAACATCAACAACAACAACAACAACAACATCAACAACAACATCATCAACATCAACAACATCGCTGTGGAATGAGTGGCTGAGTGGGTGAGTGAGTGGCTGAGTGAGTAGCTGAGTAGAGTGGCTGAGTGAGTGAGTGGCTGTGTATCTGACTGAGTGAGTGGCTGAGTGAGTGGCTGAGTGAGTGATCGGCTGAGTGAGTGAGTGAGTGGCTGAGTGACTGAGTGAGTGGCTGACTGAGTGAGTGAGTGACTGAGTGAGTGAGTGGCTGAGTGAGTGGTTGAGTGAGTGAGTGAGTAGCTGATTGACTGAGCGGCTGACTGACTGAGTGACTGCCTGAGTGAGTGAGTGATTGAGTGAGTGAGTGGGTGAGTGAATGCCTGAGTGAGTGAGTGAGTGACTGAGTGAGTGAGTGAATGGCTGAGTGAGTGAGTGACTAAGTGACTGAGTGAGTGACTGAGTGACTGAGTGAGTGACTGAGTGATAGGCACCCCGCTCACCACGCCTGCTCACCAGGATCAGGGTGTGTTTGCTGTCGAAGCACGGGCTACTGAAGTCATCGTACAGGGCGTGACTGACTGAGTGAGTAGCTGAGTGAGTGAGTGACTGAGTGGGTGAGTGAGTGAGTGAATGACTGAGTGAGTGAGTGACTGAGTGAGTGAGTGATTGAGTGGGTGAGTGAGTGAGTGAGTGAATGACTGAGTGAGTGAGTGAGTGACTGAGTGACTGAGTGGCTGACTGAGTGACTGACTGACTGAGTGAGTGACTGAGTGAGTGAGTGAGTGGGTGAGTGAGTGAGTAGCTGAGTGAGTGACTGAGTGACTGAGTGAATGACTGAGTGAGTGAGTGACTGAGTGAGTGACTGAGTGAGTGACTGAGTGGCTGACTGAGTGAGTGGCTGAGTGAGTGAGTGAGTGACTGAGTGAATGAGTGACTGAGTGAGTGAGTGAGTGACTGACTGAGTGAGTGAGTGACTGACTGAGTGACTGACTGAGTGGCTCAGTGAGTGAGTGAGTGACTGGGTGAGTGAATGGCTGACTGAGTGAGTGAATGACTGAGTGAGTGAGTGAGTGAATGAGTGAGTGGTTGACTGAGTGACTGAGTGAGTGACTGAGTGACTGACTGAGTGACTGACTGAGTGACTGACTGAGTGAGTGAGTGATAGGCACCCCGCTCACCACGCCTGCTCACCAGGATCAGGGTGTGTTTGCTGTCGAAGCACGGGCTACTGAAGTCATCGTACAGGGCGTGAGTGAGTGACGGAGTGAGTGAGTGAGTGACTGAGTGAATGAGTGGCTGAGTGAGTGACTGAGTGAGTGAGTGACTGAGTGAGTGAGCAGCTGAGTGAGTGACTGAGTGAGTGACTGAGTGAGTGACTGAGTGAGTGGCTGAGTGAGTGAGTGAGTTGCTGTGTAGCTGAATGAGTGAGTGACTGAGTGAGTGGCTGACTGAGTGACTGAGTGACTGAGTGAGTGAGTGAGTGAATGGCTGACTGAGTGACTGACTGAGTGACTGACTGAGTGGCTGAGTGAGTGATAGGCACCCCGCTCACCACGCCTGCTCACCAGGATCAGG